CTAGTCAGTCTTTCAATGTCACAAGTAGCTTCCCTTCTCCAGTGGCGGTGGTAGGGTCCTTCTGCACAGCACAGCAATAATAAAAATTATATTATATATTATATATCATTATATCATAGGTATTTTAAAGGATAGAGATAGAATATCAACCACAAATCCAGAAAAAATACATGATACAAATGTTATAAATTGAGTTACAGTTCAGTGAGTAAAATAAGTATTTGATCCCCATGCAAAACATGACTTAGTACTTGGTGGAGAAACCCTTGCTGGCAAGCACAGAGGTAAGACATTCCTTGTAGTTGGTTATCAGAAAAGAAGAAGGTGGTGCCCTCTAAGTGCAGCATTAAACTCTTTAATAAAGCTGAAAATATCTAATACAGGCCACTCACAAAAGGTATGGGGGAAAAGCACTTGTGATCTGAAATAATAGGCATCCGCTGTGTGAATATACAAAGTACAATGGAGTGACAGATATAAAACTTAATAAAGTGACAGGTATGGAAAATATATAAGAACAATGTAAAAAATATAAAAAAAATGTATGTATGTGATACAAGTATATTAAGCAATCTATTCATATTTAAATATACCCAATGAACAGAACCTAAAAATGTATAATAAAAATGATGTATAAGGGAAATTGCTATATATGAGGCAATCAAAAAATAAGTAACTGGGAACCCTAATAATAATAATAATGGTTCATGTGTTTTTTTGAATATTGAGAAATAATAAATGATTAATGATCGCAAAGATGTGGGTACTTTATAAAGTTATGTCCTATACGGACAGCGTGACAATAAAAAGTTTGGCGTATTAGCCATGCGTATTACTGTATTGATATTAGAAATATGAGGAATGATAAATCGTAATAATGAAGGAAATTGAGAAACATTAGAATTGGAAATACATATTTTATGAAAATTATGCCCTGTGTCGAAAAAGACCTTTCAAAAAATGATTGTATAATGGTGCCGATTTCTAGTTCTTAGTTTAGGCCTCCAGGAACTAATGTTCCTAAGGAGTAGATCCAATAGGTCTCCCTCTCACAAAAGGCGTTTGAAACGTTCTGCAGTAGGAAGGCTGGGATGTATGGATTCAATAATCCACACCTTTAAGCCTGCAGAGGATTTCTCCTGATTCTCCAGAGAATGTCGAGGTACACTATGTAGATCCAAACCATCCTCTACTAATCGCCTATATTGTCCGAATCTTTTTCAGAGAGTGTGGATGGTGCATCCAGCATAAAAGTAGGTGACATGGGCAGGTGGGACAATATACTACAAATTGGCTAGTACAGTTGAAAAAGACAGATATGCAGTATTGTTTCCCTTTAGCATGAAATTCTTTCTGACCATGGGTAACATGTTTGCAAGATAGACACCTGGGTTTATGGCATTGTTACAGACCCCTAATGTTTGAGGGAAACATGGACTGTGGTAGGACACCATTTAATTTTACTTAATTTTTACTTTAATTCAGAAATGTTAATGTTTCTGAAATATATGTTCCATTCTACGAAATTGATTGTGAAACTGTGTTGTGAACCTTAAGGGAGCTGATTCTTGAATGAATGAAGTGTCCTTGATGGTTGGGTCATGTTTTAAATAAAAAGAAAAGGACATCTTCAACTATAGAATTGGGGTAACCTGTGTCGTAAAATGTGTCTTTGAGAAATTGGCTATGAGTGATATAATTCTGTTCCCTGGTACAGTTGTGTTTGAGATGGCAAAATTGACTTTTGGGAATATTGTTTACCCAACAGAGATGATGGCAACTCTTATAATGTAAGTAAGAGTTGCCCGCCGTGGGTTTGCTGTAATTCTGGGAGAAGATAGTATTGGCATCATGGCAGAGTTCCTGGTCTAAAAATGCAAGTTTGTCTGGATCACAAACTGATGTAAAGGGCAGGCCCATGTAGTTATTATTGCAGTGTTGGACAAAGGCTGTGACTTGTGTGATGGAGCCATCCCAAATTATAATAATGTCATCTATATAGCACCCATAGAAGATTAGATGACTGGCAAAGGAGTTCTTATTCCAGATATGCTGTTCCCATTGTCCCATGGTCAGACTGGCATACATGGGGGCAAACTTTACTCCCATGGATGTACTATGTATTTGATGTGTTTCATGGATAAGCCCCATATGTCACCATATCCACCAAAAACACCTCACTGTCTTGGGGAAAGCAAATGATGCACTACAGACCTCTCTAGAAAAAAAAACAATTACAGCTGAGCATACTTTTTTTATATATTTGAATAAAGGTTATATATTTTAGATTTATCAATTGGCCAGATGGTGCGTAGGGAAACGCAACCTTGTCCAGTATAGATCTATCAATAGTCAATAGAAAGTCCCACCACCTTCCTCAAATATATAGAAGAAATTATCACTGCCCTGATCTACTAGCAAGGATCCAACCCAGAAAACATTTGCTGTGATTGTGTGAGCAGACTTCATGAGCAACATTTTCCAGAAAACATTCCACCCACAGAATCAGGAAGAAGATGCCAAAAAAAATGTTGGGTATGCGGCAGAAGAGAAGCTAAGACAGACACCAGTGTTCACTGTCCCCACTGTCCCTCCCAATCGGGCCTATGTATTGAAGACTGCTTCCGACATTATCACACATCGCTAAAATATTAGTTCCACTTATCATTAGTAGCCCAGTTTCTAAAATCCGTGCTGATCATTTGCCTGCTGCCTTGAGTGACCATGCCTCTGCCTCCCACGTTAACTGACCCTGGCCTGTTTATCGACGATGCCTCTGCCTGCCATCTGGATTGTTTCTAAACCACTTTTCTGCCAAGAATTGATGGAAAAAATTAAAAACTAAAAAAAAATTCACCATGCCTCTTACTAAATAGCTTGTACTGTCTACTTTCCAAAAAGGAGGCATTTGGGGGGTATTTGTACTTTTCTGGCATGCTAAGGTCTCAAGAAATGAGATATGCCAACAGTACATCAGTTGCGATCAATTTTCAACGATTGGTACCATAGCTTGTAGACTCTATAACTTTCATACAGAATAAATAATATACCCTGATTTGGGTTATTTTTACCAAAGAAATGTAGCAGTAAACATTTTGGCCTGAATTTATGAAGACAATTGACTTATTTGCAAAATTTCTCAATAGAAACAAAAAAAAAATTCTGATGTGATTAAGTACCACCAAAATAAAGCTCTATCTCTGTGAAAAAAATTATAAAAGTTTTGTTGATGTACAGTGTAGTATGACTGAGTAATTGTCATTCAAAGTGCAAGAGCACTGAAAGCTAAAAATTGGTCTGGGCAGGAAGGGGGTAAAAGTGCCCTGTATTGAAGTGGGCAATGTAATCAGCTCGATTTTGGATTACGATACCTCCTCCCTTATCAGCTGATTTAATGATTAAATCATAATTTTGTATGAGTTGTTTCAATGTTGTGGATTCTCGGGCTGTGAGATTGGAGGGGTGGGAGATAGAAGAACTGTTACACATATGTATAATGTCAGTATATATGACCTAATAGAAACTTTGAATGTAGGGACCCTTGGCTGATGTGGGATAAAAAAATTATTTGGGACGAGAATTGGTGTGTTTGATAGGGGGAGAAGAAGGAAGATGTTGAGTAAGTACATTAAGATACTCATCATCTTCCATGGTATAAGACTGTTCTAAATCAGCTAAGATGGATTTGTTGACTGACAAATTATTGATGGATAGTTCAAACGTGGAATCAAGAGTGGAGGTATCAGAATTATTGTAGGTTAATGTGTCCGTATGGAGATTTTTAGAAGCCTGAATATTAAAAGAACCTTTTAACAGTTAGATGTCTGATGAATTTGTTAAGGTCCACAAATAAAGTGAAAGGGTTCTGGGAAACTGAGGGAGCAAAAGTAAATCCTTGGCAAAAGTAATGAGGTTTCTGATGGAGATAGACAATGGTTAGACAAATTGAAGATTGTTAGAGTCTGCGCGTTTTTCCTAATCATGTTGTGTCTACGTGTTTCCCCTCTCCTTCGTCTAAAAGTTTTCTTCTTTTGGGGCAGACAGGGGGGTGCTGTCTAAAACAGGATCCACAGTAGGTAAAACTGTGGACGGGGAAATTGCCACTGGATTCCATTGAGGGTTCCACTGGGGAATTGCAGCGGCCATTAGGTTCTAATAGGTTCCATTCTGGGAAACTGAAAGAATGCTGGGCCTGTTGAGTGGTGTTCTGATTGAGGTTGGTTGAATTTTGTGAGGAATGGGATGTGCTTGGTATAACAGACTTGACACTGTTGCAAGAGACAGAAGATACTGTCTTGGCATCGGGTGGAGGAATGTGATGAGCAGGCACTAATCATACTATCCGATACATATGGGAGCTTGGATGATCGTCCAAAAGAGATTTTGGCATGACAACCCGGTGGAGGGGAAGGTTTATGATTAGGACCTGAAATAGATTGGTGCTCTAGAAAATGATTCCGAATAGGTTGTCATTGCATTTGTACTTTGTATATTTTCTGAGCTGTATTCATATATTAATGAGCCATTCCATCAGTCAACATTTATGCCATTAGCATCTATCACCCAGGCTATGGCAGCAAGCGGGAGGTGCTCCTTTACTCCTCCCCTCGCTAGAGGTATATCTGTTCCAGCTCAAAGATGGCTACTCCACAGCCTGAAGAGGGAGCTCACATGCTCCGAACGAGCCCCACCACCTACCATCATGTACTGTGGATAGGTGTCAGCTACAGAGCCGGCGAAGTACCCATAAGTCCCTGGTGCTTTGCCAACACAAGGGGGTGCTGCACACCCGAGTAGGTGCGCAGCTCTCCCCCCACCACGTACACCAGACAGAGCGGAATAAGAATCCCCGAAGAATGAGGGACCTGGTGATCATGTGATCGCTGTGCAGGATGTTGGACCCGGGAACCGGTGATTGACAGCTGCGGCCGCGAAAGGCAGTGTGGGTAGGGCACATGTGTGGGTTCACGCATGCCCCCAACCTGGAAATGCAACATCACGTGCAGGGGAGGACTGACCATTTGGAAACTCGGGCACTGCCCCAGGGCCCGGGGTCAGTAGGGGCCCCATGAGATGCCCCTGGTACCTTTTTCATAGGCTTTTTTGAGTTTGGGCAAGGACACAGGGGCCCCATGATCCCCTATTGCCCGGGGGCCCCATGAGTTGTCAGTCCGCCCCTGATCACGTGTATACTTGTGGTTTTGCACACCCGCGCTGCCCTGTAGCAGTATTTCTGCTATAGGGAAGCGGTTAAAGTGTTACTAAAGCCAGGACCCTGCATCCACTATATCTGGTCTCCCCAGTACATACAACATGGAAGTCAATTTTTTTTAGTAAATATAAACTATAATACCTTTTCTCATCAGAAGTTAGAGCAGTCTTGTGACTTCTGTGGCCCAGAACTAGCTAAAGCTTGTAGAAGGAGTTTTATTTCTGCTCTAGGAGGATACAAATCCCCTGACCTCTGTCTGGACAGTGCTAATTGGCCGTTTGCTGATCACATGCACTCTCCCAAGAACAAAGAAAAAAATATCTCTAGCAATAAACACCAAACTGAGCATGTTCAGGCCTATGGTTCAGTCTGGAGATACAGTGTGTATATATATATATATATGTGTATATATATATATATATATATATATATATATATATATATATATATTTATATATATACAGACATACATACACAAATACATACATACACATACACACACACTGTATATACACATATGCACACACAAACATTTTATTTGTATGAATGATGACATGCTGTATAATGTCACAAGATTATTCACAAATTAGGTTAATGACCTGAGCTACTGTATGTCAGCAGAGGCTTGTTCACATCAGGTGCCTTGAGCTGTGTTGATCAACATTGATAAATGCAGGCTCAACACAAGGCCACATAAAAAGTAACTGGATTCTATGTGCTCTGTTCACACTTTACCAGTGCCATGGTGTGTATTGCATAAAAATGTGGGTGTTTTTTTGTTTTGTGTGCAATACACCACAGCATGTCACAACTTGCTTCAGTAAACAGAGTTGAATGGCATGTCATTTTATTACATTTCAGGGTTAAGAAAGTGAAGCAGAATGTGCACTCACAGGTGTTAACAAGCCTTAACAACTTAAACACTTTTCAAGATATCAAAATGTCAACATCATGACTGCATCCTTTAGAAAACCTTGGTATATAATGTATATTCAAATCGTGATGCGTTTAAGTTGAAGCTAAAATAATTGGGTTTTAAAAATTTCAAAGACAAAAAAAAAAGACCCCAATTTAAATGTGTAGAGGTCTTGGATGATCAAGAGATATTTAATAGAGGTGCATCTGTTCCAGTATATTTCACTCTCCTCAGTGGACAGCCCACTTTTATAATGCCATGGAATTTCTTATCAACCTGCAGACAGGTCCTTATGATATAATAACTGCTTCCTGCCTTTATGAGTCTGGGATTTGGACAGAAACATAAAAACGTCTGCAAGTTTCCTAAAGATTGTACCCAACATCAAATTATAAAATGGTTTGAAAATATGTCAAAAACTTTTATTTGCAGTATTCCCAGTTCTATATTGTGGAAGAAGTAGAGGCAGATAAAGGACATCTGCTCTATTATACAAGCACAGATTTATGTGTATGTCAGCAGTATAACCGCAACATCAATGCTGAAAACATAGTTGTATTTAATACACTGTTTTCTGGCCCTCCTTTGAGACTGGCACTCAAAATCAATAATGGTCCAATAGCTCCAAATCATTGCTCTGGCAAATCACAAAATTGTCGACATACTGAATTTGAAAAGTTACAGTAAAAGACCAAGTTGGACATAAATTTATTTTCATGTATCTTGTATTTAAAATGACAATAACCTATCTGGTACAAAGGCAATGCTACAAGCAAAATATAGGAAATAGCTTTCTGAGAAGCTTTCATTGAGGGAAACATTCACAGAATCTTAGCTCGTTATTAAGTTTTAGGTTCTCTTCACTTTAAAAGAACCTTCTTTCAGGCAAATAAAAATACTGGATGGCAGTCATCAAAAGTTTGCTAAGATGCTGCTTTTGTTGTACAAGAGTGACTTTGGAAACCAGATTTCCATTAGCAAACAAGTTTGTACCTATTGACTGCATTACATTAACTGCATGTTTTTTACTAATCTTGAATTATTTTAGCTTTTCTAAGTGGTAGTACATCAGGAGCAACATTAACACAAAGTAAATAAAGAAAAACAAATTCTTATGGCTTTTACGGAATAATGCCAAAAAAAAAAGTGTAAAATGGGACTGCCGACTGACATCTAGATTTTAGAGAGCACCTCTGCTTTGTTTCAATGAAAAAGTGCTGCTGTTTCATTATTAATTATTATAATTAATACTTTAAGACCAAAACTCTGGATCCCTGCATCTTCCAGGCCATAACTGGTTCTCTTTAAAAAAACAGTTTTGTTCAGAAAATAAATACTAAACCCACAACAGTAAAATCAGTCTGTATATGCAGTAAAGATTGCTTGTTATACTCACTGTGGAACCTAAGAGGTTAATACTCTTCATTTTGTAGAAAGGATGTTTGATCTTGTCTTCTCTGATCCTCCCCTTCTTCTGCTGTCCCCAATCTATCTGCTGATAGAACAGACCCTTGGGGACAAGTTGCACATGCACAGTTTGGTGTGTATTGCTAGAGAGTTTTTTTTTTTATCTTGGGAGAGTGCATGAGATCAGCACAGGGCCAATCAGCACTGTCCACTGAGGTTATGCAGCCTCATAGGAAAATCAGGGGGAAATGAAAACTCCTCCTAACCAGTGCTCTGCTGGACAATAATAGAAGCCAAAAGACTGCTGACTGCTGATGAGAAAAATATATTTAGCAGTTTAGATTTACTAAAATAATTGCATTTCCTTGTTCTGTGTACTGTGGAAGATCAGATATAGTGAACAGTGAAGTGAAGGGTAACACAGAAACCACTAAATGTCTACTATAGTCTTTATTGCAGAAAAGTTTATTCTCCTCTACTCTCTGATTTCACTTTGCGCTTGGGATCTATGCTTATGCAAGTGTGCATGTGTGATGTGTGTGGACCCTGAGAGAGGAGAAAGATTACCTAAAATCTGACAGTTGCTGTTCTACTAGCAGTCTGATCTCATGCTGATAGCACATGTCCTTGGGCATGCGGGCAGCACAGTGGCTAAATGGTTAGCATGTCTGCCTGGCAGTACTAGGGTCATTGGTTCGAATCCCAACCACGGCACCACCTGCCTGGAGTTTGCATGTTCTCCCTGTGCCTGCGTGGGTTTTCCTCCGCATACTCCGGTTTCCTCCTACACTCCAAAGACATGCTGGTAGGTTATTGGCTCCTGTCTAAATTGGCCCTAGTATGTGTATGTATGTATGAATGTGAGTTAGGGACCTTAGATTGTACACCCCTTGAGTGTTTGGGACTGATGTGAATGTACAATATATATGTAAAGTGCTGTGTAAATTGACAGTGCTATATAAGTACCTATAATAAATAAATGTCCTTACCTGAGTGTTCAAAACAGAATCTCCTAAAGGCCTGGCCTCATGCCAAATTCACATATTGTCTCTTGAGTGTGCATAGGAGTATCACATAACAGAGTCCATGAGTTAGGAGCAATGTAAATTACTGGGCTTTATGTTCAGTACAGGTCATGGCTACTTAGGAGCTGGAAGGCAGTGGGTGTTATCATGAGCAAACATCAGACTAAGGAGGCCCTCTTACCTCTACTGTCTTCCTCACACAAGCAAACATCAAACTAAGGAGGCCCTCTTACCTCTAATGTCTTCCTCACACAAGCAAACATCAAACTAAGGAGGCCCTCTTACCTCTACTGTCTTCCTCACACAAGCTAAGCAAAGATATTTAAGTGGAAAAATATATATATTCTATAGTTATGTCTATAAAATTAATAATAATTGAAGACCAAATCTCAGGATCCCTGCATCTTTCAGGCCTTAACTGGTTCTCTTTAAAAACATATAGTTTTGTTTAGAAAATAAATCTCCATTGGATCAGCTATATATACTGCAAACAGTTTAGTAAATGTGTTTGCATACTGTTATTAGCCTTACAAGGGGCTAGTATTGAATTTAATATCTAGCATTGTTTGAACACTGCATGCAACATTTAGGTTTGCGAGGTGCAGTATGCTGTCCAACATGGTGGTATGTACGGAGTCATTCAGTCAAAATAGACTCTTTCCTATCCAGTCATGCAATGTTTTGCATTGAAATTCTCATTGTCTTCATTACTGCAAAATCCTGGCAAGAATTCCCTTGTTGAAACCATGTGTATGGCCCCTTGATTTGCTGGAAGCATGGCAGAATTTCAGGCAGCCCTGCAATACCATTTACTACCCTCCTGCCACCATCACCTTTTGGATTAAAAGGGGATGTGGAAGGGTGTAAATTTTAATAATGATGTGTCTGTGAGCAGTGTCACCACCTGGCTTTTCCGGTTTACTTATTATGACTATTGGTGTGTTTTACATTGCCAACATTTAAAGGACCCTGTTCTTCACACTCAGAGGTTTTTAATCAGTTGGATGCCTGTTTGGAACTTGAGATTAAGACAGACATTGTGGTGAATTGAGTGGGATGGGGTGCTATTCAAAATTAATGGTTCAGCCAGGAGCAGGCTGACCATTGGGGAACTCTGGCAGTGCCCGAGGGCCCGGGGTCAGTAGGGGGCCCCATGAGATGTCCCTGGTACCTTTCATAGGCTTTTTTGGGTGTGGTTTGAGAGTGGGAGAGGATATAGGGGCCCCATGATCCCCTATTGCCCAGGGGCCCAATGAGTTGTCAGTCCACCCCTGGGTTCAGCTACTTACTACATCTTATTTGGCATATTACATAAATGCAATATGAGAACTGACCTTATACTACGCTATGATAATTCGGCAGTCATGGTTTATCTGTGACTAGCAGAGTTTCTCAGACTCCGACATTACTTGTTGATTTGCTTGCATGTTGGGGTAGGGCTGCTGTTTTACCTGATGAAATGAATTTAGGATTTTATGGTTCCATTCAGCATCTGCTAGGTATTGTAATGCTCTCCTGATGGGCTTATCTGCTAGAGAAAGCAGAAAATCCCTTCATGCCTTTAGGCATTCAGTGCAACCTGGGATTGCAGGCAAAACTCCTGATGACCAAATACTTGTATTGTGCTCAATTGCCCAGAAAAGCAAAGGCATTCACACCTGTGGACTAGCATGGTGGGCAACCCTAAAATCACCCTTTTTTCTACTTGTGAGCAGGGGCGGACTGACCATTTGGAAACTCTGGCACTGCCTGAGGGCCCGGGGTCAGTAGGGGGCCCCATGAGATGCCCCTGGTACCTTTTTCATAGGCTTTTTTGAGTTTGGGCAAGGACACAGGGGCCCCATGATTCCCTATTGCCCGTGGGCCCCATGAGTTGTCAGTCTGGCCCTGCTTGTGAGTCTCACCATGCTAACAGATTTTCACTTCTACTTAGTCCTTGAGAAGGCACTGACAAAATTTGCAATTCTAGAAAAAAAAAAAAAAATCCTACTGCCATATTTTGAATACATTTAAGGGCCAATCATACAAGGAAAATTTTATCATTGACGGGTTTTTCTCTTTTTGGGGAAATATTTCCACTACTTTGACATATATGTGAAGCACACTTTGCTATTTCTAATGGGGCAAAGCTGGAGAAAGGACCTCCATTGATGTAACATCTTTCACATTTAGTTTTTTTCACCACTGTTTTTTTTTTTTTTCAAAAAAATTTCCCTTCATGCCAACATCTGAATCATTCTAAACAATATAATGTGGAAAAGTGTTGTGAAAGAAAAAGCAATTATTTTGCTTTTTTATATAAACAAGTCCCATTATTTTTATGGCGATGAAGGATGTTGTTTATCAAAGTTTTTCTTATTTGTTTCAGATAGTTAAGGTAGTAAACTCTGACCGTATATGCAACCTAACACCAGGGTGTAATTTTTCCCTGCATTAATATTGGTTTTTTAGTATTTTTAGAGAAATGGAATAACAATTTTAACATTATTGGCAACATTTAGGGTCATCTTACAGAGCGTGATAAATTACAGCTAAATGGCAGCTGCTGTATTTTTAATTGACTTTTGCGATAACAAAGAAATGATGCCATCTGTAAAAGTTTTACTTTTATCTAGGCAAAATGTTTCTATGAAATCAAATATAATAGAAAAATAAAATACATAGATGGTAAATGTTATTTGTTTGGCACTATGCCCAATACACATGGGATCACATAGCTGCATGACACCATACATCAAGCATGTAGAAAACAGAGATAGAAAGAGAGGGAAGAAAGAGGGAGATAGAAAGAGAGGGAAGAGAGAGAGGGGGGGGGAGAGAGAGAGGGGGGGGAGGAAAAGAGAGGGAGGGGGGGGGGAGAGAGGGGGGGGAAGGGGGAGAGAAAGGGGGGGAGAGGGCGAGAGGAGGCGGGGGAGAGAGAGGGGGAGAGGGAGCGAGAGGGCGGGGAGGGGAGAGAGAGCGAGAGAGATAGGAAGAAGGAAGAAGGGGGAGAGAGTGTGTGCGAGAGAGAGAGCGCGAGAGCGAGAGGGGGAGAGGGGAGAGAGAGGGGAAGAGAGAGAGGGGGAAGAGAGAGAGGGGGAAGAGAGGGGGAAGAGAGGGGGGAAGAGAGGGGGGAAGAGAGAGGGGGAGAGAGAGAGAGAGGGGGGAGAGAGGGGGGGGGAGAGAGAGGGGGGGAGAGGGGAAGAGAGAGAGGGGGAGAGAGGGGGGAGAAAGAGAGGGAAGAGAACGAGATGGAAGAGGGAGAGAGAAAGAGTGGGAAGAGAGAGGAGAGAAAGAGAGGGAAGAGAGAGAGTGAGAGAGAGCGAGAGGGGGGGAGAGAGGGAGGGGAGAGAGGGGGGAGAGAGAGAGGAGAGGGAAGAGAGAGAGGGAGGGGGGGAGAGGGAGAGAGAGGGGGGAAGAGAGAAAGAGGGGAAGAGAAAGAGAGGGAAGAGAGAGAGAGAGAAAGAGAGGGAAGAGACGTGCCGAGAGAGAGAGGAAGAGAGGGAAGAGAGACAGAAGAAAAGTCTTTTTTTTATAGCACAAACAATAAAATGCACAGGCGATCAAATACCACAGAAAGAAAGCTCAATTCGTGGGGAAAAAAAGAACATAAATTTAATTTGGGTGCAGTGTTGCATGACTGTGCAATTGCCAGTTAAAGTAATGCAACGTTGTAAGAAAAAAAATGGCCTGGTCAGGAAGGGGGGGGGGGGTAAATCCTCAGGAGGAGCAAGTAGTTAATTAGATTAATGTTTAAAGGTTGCATTGTCCTGTTTTTACTGGTTGTACATTCTATCAATGCTGTCATCCCCAAGAGAGGAATATCCTCCTGGGGGTATAAAGTATGTTTCTGGGTTTTAATTACCAGTTAATCCTTTGGTTTTACCTCAGCATCTTGTCTGTGTGTGATGCTTGGGATAAAGGGCTAGTATTAGCCATCGGTCTGCTGGAAGGGTTTGGAGGGTAGGAAGCTCTGTTTGGCGTAGGCTTTGCCAGCTTTATTTTTGGGGACTCTGGGGACAAAAGCTCATCAGCTGAATTCACTAAATAATTCACCTAATTATGAATGGCTCTTTAATTTTCCTGTTTTGCTTAGTTTTACATGTTTGTAATAATTTGTATTAGTTTGAATACAATTTGTATTAGTTTTTTAAAGCTAAATGGTGCATTTGAGAAAAAAAAAATTAAAACAAGGATAATATTGTATTACAGACAGTTTCCAAAGGTGTTCTTATTGAACTTCCAGATTAAATTAAAATTTAATGATACAGCTTGAAGTGAAGTAGAAATGACAAAGATTTCTCACACGCTAGCATTTGCTATTATTTCAGGATAAAATACAACATGGTATGGTGCTATAACAGAAGCACTGGGGTAAGCCAGTTTTGTGAAGCTGGAGTGATTTAACTCCTAAACGTTAGAAATGGGAGTCAATTATGCCATGCCATGGCTGCACCTGAGGAGGTGGCAGATGGGGGTCCTTCAAACAGTTTCCTTGGCAAAGCATGAGCATTTGGCTATATAGAGAGGTTCTGTGAGGCAGCATCCTTTTTCTCATCAAGCGGCTCCTCTCCTAGGTCCTTAAAAGGTAAATGTGGTTTTGGGTCCATTTTATTGTATTTAAAGCCTAAGCGTTTGCATTTTAAAATTCATGATTTTGGCCACTGACTCATTTACTTGTATAGGTACATTTCAGCTTGAGCTCCTGAACTCTGTAAATCCAAGTTTGGAATAGAGATACACAAAAAAACATATGATTTTTGTAAATATAGAAAATATTCATATGCAATCTTTTCTTTATAGCCTGGCCACAAGAAACCTTTAAATACAATAGTTTTAGCCCTGACTCTTGATTAAAAGAAGGAAGGAGGGATGTTTTAATTGTACACTTAGAATAACTGCCTCCCATAGTGGCCATTTTACAATGGCAGGTATGAGCCAAATCATGTTCAATGTTACATACACCTCCAGGAATACCAATCCTATTGCACACCTTTGTGACATCAGCAAAAAGACATACCCTTACCCAACAAACCTTTAGGTATATCACTTACATATAGATTACATAGAACAGGCTACTTGGTACATAACTAGTGACTGATAGTAAATGGGGTTCACTTGGAAAAGAGACGAGAGTGTGGTTACTACAGAGTGTGTTTGTTGGGTAAGGAATGTCTTTTTGCTGAGGATACAAAAGGTGTGTAATAGGTGAAAACAAAAAGATACGAGCGCTGGATAAACAACCAAAAAGCGACTTGCATGAAAGGCAAACACCAGGAGCCTCAAACTACAATATATCAAACAACCATGCAGCGCTAGTTAAACATAATATTGCATGCAAATCCTCATACGGTGCATATAATGAAAGTGCATATAGTGAATGGTAAAGTGAACACCACTTAATAAAATAACCTAAAACGTCCAGAGATAATAATGATGATAAATAAATGAATAAATGAAAATCTTCAACAAGAGAGTTCTTGCGGTGTATGATGTAAACCAATTTCAAGGTAAAAAGGTGACACAGTAAAGTGACTTCTGTGACCATATTCTTCCCACAGAAATGAGTGTAGATTGCACTAACCAGAAAGCGCAATGGTAATGCGCATTTGAGTGTTAACCCAACTCCTGGTCATCCGGCTAATGATACTGGAACTGGATCACAGAGAGTGGTCATCTGGCCTGCATCAGCTGGGCAACATCACAACCTCAGGGTCTCCAGGTAGCAGCGGACGTGTAGTCGTTTCACCACCGGGGGGAGTCTAACCAATCCTGATGTGGCCACCAGATCATTCCAATAAGCCTTGAAGAAGGGGGGGGGGGCTCGGAAGTAACGAGCCAAGACAACAGGAGATACTAATAGTGTAGTACTTTATTATCCACAAGGGAAAAAGTGGACAAATAGCTGAAAGAAACTACTCACATGTACAATGAGCAGCTAGTAGCAGGGAATTCCAAAATGGCCACCGGCCGTCCACAGGGGCCATGCAGTGTGACGTCACAGGGTATAGGGCACCGCCCCCTAACGTGTTTCGTGCGATGGCACGTTATCAAATAGGGTTGATATCCCTGAAGGTGTCTGTAACATGGAGCATAATTTGACATTGCTCGAAGATTGGTCAAAAAAGTGGAAATTGCAGTTCAATGTTTCTAAATGTAAAATAATGCACCTAGGGAAAAAAAGAATCCCTTTAGAGAGTACAACATTGGGGGTATATTGCTGGCCAGCACTTCAGAGGAAACGATTTGGGAGTACTTATTTCAGATGATAGCAAAATGAGCAAACAGTGTGACCAGGCGGTGGGGAAAGCAAATAGGATTCTAGGATGCATTCAGTGGTGTATTTAGATTTTCTGCTGCTCTAGGCACCACAAAATTTTGCCCCCCCCCCCCCCAATGAGAGAGCGAGAGAGTCAATAAGTGTGTGTATGTATATATGATTCTCTTTCTCTCTCTCTCTCTCTCTCTCTCTCTCTCTCTCTCTCTCTCTCTCTCTCTCTCCCTCTCTCTTTCCTCTCCCCCCCTTCCCTCCACTTCCCTCCCTTCCCCCTCTCTCTCCCCCCCTCTCTCTTCCCTCTCCTCTCTCTCCCCTCTCTCTCTTTTCCCGTCTCCCCCTCTCAACTTCCGTCTCTCTAGTCCTCTCTCTTCCCCCCCTCTATCTCCCCCTCTCTCTCTATCCCCCTTCCTCTCTTCCCTCTCTTCGTTTCTCAGATCATATGGGGCTGCAACACACACCTGCACCAAGGGCTGCTGATCTCCGGGCAGCAGGAAGGAGGGGGGTGTGTGCAGCCCCATACGATCTGTCAGTGCAGGGAGGGAGGCAGAGAGATCCCATAGAACACAGCACAGATCACCTCCTCCAGGCTCTCTTCTCCCTGCTCCAGGCTGTCC